GATAGATAGATAGATAGATAGATAGATAGATAGATAGATAGATAGATGATGACTGGAAGACATCTTCTGCCTCCATTTCTCTGTTTACTACAGTCTGTTGAATTCATGTTCATGTGGATTTAAAGACATTTACATTTGTAGATAAAATAGCAGGGGGAGAATATAAAAAAAAAGTCATATCAACCAAAACTTTCCGGACCCCCATGCAGTACCTCCAGGACCCCCTAGGGGCTGCGGACCCCCTGTTGAGGACCTCCGCTTTAGTAAACTAAATGTTTGTGGCTCATCTTAAAGGTGGAGGCAACAAAGCCATATTTTTTTACCCATTTCTGCCTCTGAACCTGGCCGAATCGCTCTGCTTTCCCACAGAAAACCGAACATCTGCTCAACTGGTTGTTCCGCATCCAGCCACAGACGTGTTTTGTTTATTCTGCCCACCCTCCCTCCTAAAATCCTCCACCCAGCCCTCTCTCCTCGACAGGCGTTGGCTGGCAGCCAGAAATGTGTTGCATGAGGACCTCACATATTTTGGCGAGCAGCTCTGTCTTCACAGGCTTTTCACTCATCCTCCCTTGTTTTTGTTTGGATTTTTTTATCTCTCTCAGCTCAAATCTTTTTCCCCTCCTTCCTCTTAACGTGTTAAACTGTAGGCTCTTGTCACTTGTGTCACGTCTGGGGGAATGTCTGGTGTCTCGTCATGTGTTGATTACCTATTGTGTACACCTGGGGTTCCCCTCCCTCATGTGTTTAAATAGTTCCTCGTTTCCCTTGTCCTGTGCCCGTGTGTTTTCGTCTTTCTGTTCTCGTCACCCCTCGCCACGTCAGGTTTGATTTTTGTCACAGCCATGCCATAGCCTAGTTTACTTTATGGCCATAGCCTTTGTTTTTGCCACAGCCATGTTAACTCATTGACTGCCAAAGACGTCTATAGACGTCTTTTATGTTTTTCAACGCGAGTGGCTGGGGGACGATCTGCTAAAGCTTGCCCGTAAATATCAGGCTTCTAGACAGAGTATGTAGTAACAAATTGACCCTCTAGGTGGCAGTGCCACTTTTGATGGGAGATGAGCATAGACTGTAGGCAAATTAAAAAAACGCAATGGTTCGCTATGAGAGAACATGTCGCCGGTGAGATGCAAGTCCAGGAAGAACGGAATAAGGTAGAAACACATTTTTTTTCCTGATGAAAGAAGAGAGTCTACTCTTTCTTTTGGTGTGTTCTGTGTTTACATAGTCATAGCACAAACTAATCTGTGGCTCTTGAAAAATCAGTCAAAATGCTCCAAAAAACTCCGGCAGTATGGGACTCTCTGTTCTGAAAATGGCTGGCAGTCAATGAGTTAATAACAGAGAGACGCGGCGAGGCCGAGGGATTCCTCCCAAACAGAAATGCCTTTATGGGCCATTCCTGGAGGCAACAGATCCAGGAGACACCCTCCAGCTCCCCCTGGGGACCCCGAGATGCTCCCGGTCAAGACAGGATACACTGTTCTGGGTCCGGTCAAAATCTGGCCATAGTTACTCACTTTAGCATCGAATGCTATCACATAATAATCCATATAAATTGTCTTATTCCTTTTAGAGCTGTACTCTTGTGCCCACAGATTCTCTGTTACAGTAGACACACTTCTTTATGGTCGACATCCAAACTTTCTTATCGCATTCCAATGACATCTGCATGAATTAGGACCTGGCCTGTTCAGGTCAGAGCTAACACTGGGCAGAACCAGCCCAGCCCAGAAGATAAATGTCCACCACAGCTGGATTTCGGGGTTCTCGCCAACTGAGATCCTCCAGGAAATCTGACTGTGAGAGCCCAGCTGATTTACTTTTAAAAACAGATTTATTGATTTACTTTATGACCAATAAATGGCATATTTGTACTATGATCTGCTCTGGTTTATTCTCAGGCTTCCATGTCGTTGCTCATCTCAATGTAAAAACATAAACCGTTCCCTGGCTCTTGTTTTGGCTCCTCAGACTGTCGGACCGTCGCCGTGGATACGCATGACCTCACTCCTCCTCCATCATGCTCTGCTGCCCTCACCAGAGCCTCAGCCTTTTTGTCCTCTCACACCTCTCGGAGCAAAACCCGCTTTCGGAGAGGCCAGTTCGACGGCTAACGCTAACACAATCAAGCTGTTATGTACAGCGTGACATCACTTCCTCGGACTCATTTCTCCAAACAACGCTTGCAACATTCTGCTGTTTGACAGTATTTCTAAATGAGACAATGCCCCAGAGTATTATCCAATTAATGAGTCATTCTTCGCTGTAATGATTGCTTTCTTCTAAGATCTTATTATATGCATATCCCTGGAAAAACAAGCTTATCTCTGGTTTCTTACCCACCCAAAGAATGTCTTAGCTTTTCCGAAACCACCCTGTTCTTGGCTACAGAAGACTACAGTCACTATTTAATTAAATAATTGTTTGACCATTTACATTGAAGCGGATATTACCGATCAGCTAACTGTTGGTCAGCTTTAAGCTATCTGTTAGCCAACCTAGGGCTAACTGTTGGTCAGCTTTAAGCTATCTGTTAGCCGACTTAGGGCTAACTGTTGGAAACTGTTTTTTGACTGTTACTTAAGTGTGAACGCTGTGTATTTGCTAAATGTAAACTATTAGCTGACTTTAGTTAGGTGCTGCTAACTGTTATCTAACTGTTAGGTAAATGTTAGCAACATTTTAGCTGACTTTTGCCAGTTAGCGGACTTTGATGTAACTTTTATCTGAATATCAAACAGTTATCTTACTGTTAGCTGGATGTTGTCTAGTTTGCTAACTATTAGCTGAGTTTCATCTGACAAATAAGAGAATTGGGGACTGACAAAGGGGACTATCAATATACAGTATGTGCATGTCAGGTTTGAGTTGTTCAGATGAAGAAAACAGGCTCCTTTGATGGTCTTATTCTTATTGCTTTCTCACCTGAACTAGTTGAATTCCTCCCTGATTCTATAATCAGACTTTGTTTTGTCTATGACTCCCCAAATCACAATTCAAAGAAAGAAACATACTTCCCCCTTTTCAGTCACTAATAAGACTTTAGTGGCTATATTGTATCGCATAAAAAACAACCTTTGTTTGGAGCCAGAATATGATATACGCTAAAATCATTGTCACAACAAATGTTTTGTTAAAACACATTTAAGCTAGCTGTTCAAGTAAACATACTTGAGTATTAAAAGTATTTCGTTTCATCATATTCAATCTTCATGCTATCAGTAAAATACGAACAGCTTGGTTAAAGACCAGCTTCTAATAGCTTTTTGCTCTTCTGCATCTGGATGTTCCTACAGATGTTGAGCACCATGCAGCAGGGATTCAGCCCAGAAACTTTTACTGGGCTCCAGCACTCATGATGGGTCATCAGTTCTGGCTCAAAGTTGGCGTTCCAGCTCATCCCAAAGGTGCTGGATGGGGCTGAGATCAAGGTTCGGCTTCTTCCATTAAGAAAATCGGGGAAAACCGCTTCCCCCCAATGGATCCGGAACAGATGTGAACACAAACCGTTCACACAATAGTAGAAAAACACCACAACTCAGCCATTAATCATGGATGTACAAACTGATAGGCGGAAAAGAAAACAATTTCAACTATTTTCCATAGTTTTTTTAGTCTTTGTGTTAGGAATTAGGGATTTTATTCATTTTTTGGGATGTGTTTGTCTATTAACAGTCAAACAGAAAACGCATTCCAGCACATGTCAGCAAACAAACATCAGCTAAGCTAACGTGTGTGTTTTTTAAGCTGGCAGCATGTTGAATCCCACAGAAAACCCACACTGGCACAAAAATACCACGTTCTTCAGATAAAACAGGTTCCAGTCTAAATATAAGGCATGAAATCATGACACCTTTGGTACCAGCTAAAGCCTAAAAGGTCAGGTGTTAAGAAAAGGAAGAAATAAAATGAAAATCCCAATCTTCTGGAAAAAAAAAAAACATTTTTTAAAAGGCAGCCCTTTCATCTTAAGATAGACTTTTAAAGTTCACAGTGACCTACATTTCCCCAGGTCTCCTGTTAGGCTGCGACATGCTGTTACACATACACACATTTGTATATGAGAAATGTTTAGTATGCAGGCTTGGGTTCGTCCTTGTGTGCATCTGGATAACGGCCCCCGGGGGAAATCTCCCGCTTTCACACAGCGAAGAATATGTCAGAAATATACGACATGCAGACACTCACATGCACACACACTGCAGCTGGGAAGTGGCTGCAGGCTACGGAGCAGATTTATGGAAACACACCGAAACCCGAATAGCAACTCGGTCTGTCTCAGGTCTGAACGTCCAACATGGAGAAGCACATCTGGATCCAAACATCTGACCCTCTTTGCTAGTCATCCAGCAGTGAGTCATGCTATTAGGCCCCTCTATCTGCATGCTCAAGTTAAGGAAACTGACACATTTCACCCTTAGTCTGCTTGAATCTTGTAATAATAAAGTGCTGCGTCATTGGGATTCTCCTGGGAGGAGGTTCATTTCTTTTTGTTGCAGCCAAATGTTTTTAAAAAAGCCACTGATACATGACAGCAGAATAACAACCACAGCGACTTCCTGGAGAACCTCCCAAAAATGGCACATCCAAGTCAGCCATTTTGATTAAGTCACCAATAGGAAGATCCCAGGTGAGAAAATCGTAATTGCTTCATGGCAATATAGACATTCATTTAAAAATTGTGAAATTACGGTAATCTTGCAAACATTGAATTAAACTCTATACATAATATTATGTTAAAATAGTGTATGTTAAATAGGTTTGTACAATAAGTCCAAACAAGTTTAACCAAAAAATATTTATTTCTCACAATTATGAAGGGTTAGG